AAAACAAGCAAGTTGAGTCAGCTGTAGCAACCCAAAATTCTTTATATTATTCTTTATATAAAGAATACTAATAAGGGTGACCTTTATCAGATATAAAGGTCCATGACCCTAGCAAAGGTCTCAGGTTTGAAACCTGATCATTGACCAATTCAGGATGTCAACCGATTGCAGTGAACAGCCAAGAGCGCTTCTATTTTACTTTATGAGTATTCAATGTGGGATGACATGAGTGCTTTGTAAAGTGATTCGCGCATGATCAGTTTGCCCTATTTATCTCCGAACATATTTGTACGTCAAGAATTTTAACGGTTTGAGTTTCAAATAAGTGTTGGAGTTTTTGAAGCCGTTTTTAAAACACTCGAGATCCTGTTTTAACCTATACATAAAGAAATACGTAGAATTGTATGACCAAACATTTTTAATGTTTCATTTCATTCATATTCCAACATTTTGCAATTTTTCAATTCAACAGAACTTACTCTTTTTTTTTTTTTACTCTATAATATTTTACAAATCCGTTTCGCTGTCATCACTATCGTCATCATCATCGGCTTCATCTTCACTTGAGCTTCCTACCCTGCTGTTGTCGGCTTCGTACAATTTCATTAGCTCCTCAAAGCGACTTTTGATCTAAAATCATTTAAAAATGTTTTAGATAAACGTGATAATACTTATTAGTATAAACATATTAATGGTCTATCACTCATACTACGCTGTGATTGGCTACTCTACTAATGGTCTAATTTGTGATAGACCACTCGCGGAAAAATCAAAAATAAATAAATTATAAATTATTTTAAGGATATTTCATTTTTTTTTTCATTATTGGACAGATTAGTATGTTTATACTGAAACAATTAGACCTCGAGGTCGAGTGGACTACGAGCTAATAGACCTCGGCCTCATGGGCTATTAGCTCGTAATCCACTCGACCTCAAGGTCTAATTGTTAATTATTGATAGTTTTGAGTCTAATATGCCTGTGTACAACGAAATACTTAACKTGATAATACTTTTTTTCAGCTTTAAGTTTGACTAGCTCATTTGGACCGGTTAGCATTTCTTTTTGTTTGGTGCATTGCAAATGTTCAAAGTTCAAACTTTAGTTCATTATTGTTTTCTTATTGCTATTGTTGTTGTTTTAGTTCCCGAAATTAGCTGTTCTTGTACTTTTTCTTAAAGGTCCTTAAAAGTCTGACACTAAAGTCTGGACAGCGAAACGAGTGTGTGTGGCGGCTCATTTTTGGATCATGAAAGCATGGGTCTCAATGTCGGCAGTTAAAGTTCTAGGCATTTGTCGGTAGTCAGTTATTTAAAAAAAAGTTGATAAACGTTACAGCCGTTACGGATAACACTTAGGGAGTCGAACAAAAAATCCTACTGGATTCATGCATTTTACATTTCCATGACTACCATTGGATAGCTCCTCCCCCAACATGAACTAGTTTCCTTGAATATCGACAAAACTAGCGAAGAATGCAAGTTTGCGGTGCGTTATATATCATTATAAAACTCATTAATATTCATAAGGCAAAACACAATAGAAATCATAGCCCATGAAGAGAGTTGTATATTACATACAGATCGCCCGCTCATATTGTATATATTACACAGAATACTTTCTAAAATGCCAACAATGAATCCTTGAGTCTTGTTTGATTAGTTGATTATATTTATACGCAGTTTGTTTAATCAACCATGAATAATTTTAAACTTCTTTCCAAGCTTTCGACCTAAGCGGTCATCTTCAGGGAACACAAAGACGTTACAAAAAAAACGTAAAACGTCTTTGTGTTCCCTGAAGATGACCGCTTACGTCGAAAGCTTGGAAAGAAGTTTAAAATTGTTCATGGTTGATTAAACAAACTGCGTATAAATATGAAAAATACAACCAACAAAGATCTTTTATAGTTGATTATAGTTTGATTAGTATTCAATCAGATGTCACTCAAAGTTTTAGAGTGGCCAATMAAAACTTCAAGTAGCCAATCCGAAGCAAAATTCATTTTCCGTGGAAACTTCGAATGTTGYTGCTTGAAAAATACAAAAACTATCAAGAAGCTAATATCTTTGAATATTTCCTAAAAATATTTATTTTTAGGAAACTGTTGCCAGTTAGTAAATATGTTCCTGTCGGTAGTCATCAAATTTTGTTCAAATTTTTCGCTAGTCAGTTGTTATTTTGTCCATTTGTTGCTAGTCGACTGTGAAAGGGATATTTAGTTATCCAGACATCGGACTGTCCAACATGTTTAATGCTCCATCCAACAGCATCAAACACTATCGAACATTTTTGCCGAAAATTCACGAAGTTTTGTGATCAAGCTTTTATCGTTTTTGGGTTGTTCACGGTTGGAGATACAGTACTTACCCAACCTGTTAGCCTAAAAATATCAATTTTGACTCCATTTACGTAAGAAATTATTTAGCGGCCTAAACTTTGAGCAAGGGCGCCAGGACAACCATAACAGTTTTTGAATGATATTACGATTGTATTTGTTATAGCTTTGAGTATCGTAGAATTCACTTATCTGACTTCTTGTGTATATCTTGAGTGTATCCCGAATTCCCTTGGATAGATACTAGATAGATTTTGATTGATAGATTTTTTCAGCTTTTAGTTAGCTTTTGACCTTTAGGAATGGAGAAAATTGCCCACCAATCGCCAAAAATCTATCTATCTACCCAAGGGAATTCGGAATACACTCGAGATATACACAAGAAGTCAGATAAGTGAATTTCTACGATACTCAAAGCTATAACAAATACAATCGTAATATCATTCAAAAACTGTTATGGTTGTCCTGGCGCCCTTGCTTTGAGAGCCTGCCTAGCCTAAAATTCCACTAAGCACCGTTAAGGCTAAATTTGAAAAAATGGGTTCTTATAAGCGGGTAAATAATGTACCTTACAAGGTTTACGTAAGATTTACCTCTCTAGCTGTCTTCCCTTGTAACTTTGTTGACAATTCTTCAAAAGTATTCTGTGAGGCACCTTGATGGTGACATATCGATAGAATTGTACGATCGTCGTTCCTAAAGACAAAAGCACCATCCTTTAAACATACACTTTTAGATTTGAAGTCAGGGCTCGCACTCTTTGAAGGCCTCAAAGTCGAATTTTCATAGCTTTTACATGGCTTTCAATGACCAAAATATATCAAACCTATTGCATAAATACAGGATATAATATAACATGGGCGCGCGGGGATATTTCCTTACCTCAATAAAAATTCGCGAAGGAAAATTGAGGTAAGGAAATACACTCTGCTCGCAGGGCAGCGGGGATACGGATTTTATCTTCGAGTGTTGAAAAGATCTCTCACGAGTGAGCGTAGCGATAAAATTCGTATCTCCAAGCGACCATGTAATATTCTGTTTATCATATAATTACAAATTTTGTCGTAAAATGCCTTTTTTCTTACTTCCACTAAATAGAGAAACCTCGAATGTGTTATTTTAACTAGTGAAAATATCAATTTTACAAAATGGAGAAATATAGGTATTTCATAGATTATTATATGATAAATACACTTCATGCACGTGATCTTGACTGGCTGCAATTCGGCAGAATTTAATTGGCTAAGCGACCATTGCGTCCTGTTTGCGTCCTGTTTCTTGCATTTGGGTAAAGGTTTGGTTATTTGAAAAAGCTATAAAAGCTGACTTTGATAATGTAATGTGTGTAACGAATCATAGCGCGGATTTCGTATGAGTGGGAAACGGACGGTACTGTGCAATGACCGTAATCGTACTGTAACCAAATTCTAGTGCCCCATTGGTTCATAAAAATTGTGCAGGCCAGGTCCGGTAACTGTGCGGTAACCGTGCAGTAACGGTGTCCCACTCATACGAAATCCGCTCTAATACCTACCGTGTCCAAAGAACCACAAGTTGGCCATCTTGATCAAGTTGATGATTCTGAGCTGACAACGTTCCTTGTTGAAAGTCTGTACCATCCTCGGTGTCATCGCCATCATATGCAGACTCGTTGTTATCATCAGAGTTATCACTCTCATCGTCATTAACCTCGTCATCATTTGCATCATCATCGTAATTAATATTTTCATCATCGTAATTCGGATCATCCTCATTTGCGTCATCATTGGCAGTTGTTCTGGACCACTGTGGTGTAATAGTGTCATCGTGGTCTTCCTGTCTCAGACTGTCGTTACTTGTATCATTGTGAAACGATGAAGACACGGAAAGAGGGCCATCGGAAACGCTCCACTCTGTTTTGACAGAGCTGGGGTTTTGTTCTGCAAAGAGCTCGTCTCCTTCTGTTCTTTCCTCTGCTATCTCTTTGGTTGTATCATCTTAAATGAAAGAAGAAAAAAAACAGATCAAACTATAAGAACAAGAAGATGATAGCGCATTTTAAACCTAAATGCAAGAAGAATAATTTCCCAAGGGATGAATACTCCAATTTCGAGTTCTGGTTTGCTCTGCGTTAGCCTCAAAACCAAGTAAAATATTCTTTTGTTTTATTAATAGCCCGAGAAAATGTATGGAATTTGTGAAGAAAAACAATAAAATTGATTTGAAATCTCACACTTTTATTCTCACAATTAGGAATATTTTGCGCACAAATGAGGCTAACACAGAACATTGGAGAATTCGAAACTGGATTATTGAAACATGCCCGTGAAAAATAGCAAAACTGCGTAGTGAAACTGATATTTTGTGATGAGGTTGATATCATGATCAATCGACGACAAAGTGGCCATTTTGGCAAGAGGTAATTAATTTTRAATTGGTTCCAAAATTCAACTCTTTTAGAATTTGCTCCCTGCAAAACTAGCCGCCGTACACTGGAAAAAAATCGCGCACTTTAAAGAGGTTGTAAATTTGATGTAAATATGATGCAAGTGTTAATTAAATGTAATCATGTAAATTTGATGAAAATCATTTACAACAAATTTACTTTAAATTTACCATTTTGGACRCTTACATCATATTTTCATCAAATTTACAACATTTAGGGTGCGCGATTTTTTACAGTGTATCGTCGAAGACATTACCTTCTGCCTTTTTGTAGYTTGTGTCTTCTTCTCCTTCACTTAAACCATCTCTTGAAACACTGCCAACTGATTGMGGGCTCTTCTTGGATGCTAGATTTCTTCTTTTATCAGTCTTGGTATTCTTTGGTCTTGTCATGGGCTTTGGGGTTAMYTTTTGCTTGTTCGACGAGGCTGTTTTKGCAGCGGTTGTTGGTGTTTGCTTAACTTTGAGTTTCCCTTTAGGTTTTCTTGGTTCTATCACGTCTGGTATGACCACTTCTTCGAAGTCATCCACCTAATAGTGGAAATATCATACTTAAAATACTAAAGATCGCCGCTCATATTAGTGCTATTAATATGTAGCCTTTGTTTCGACTATTGTATCTTTTGAAGAACGGTTTTAGGAATACCGAATAGAGCCGCTTTTTTCGCGGGCTCACTTTTCCAACTACCTCTCTCAAAGCACGGGTTTTACCCCATACTTAAGGGACCATAAACCCAGACCCCCTACAAAGAAAAAAATAACATTTCAACTCAAAAATCACCAAGAGACAAATAAAATGAAAAGACATCATCATTATCAGATTTAATGAGCGATCTGACCAGTGATTTACAGCTTTTTGCAGAAAAGGAACAAAAGGGAGACTAAATTGGGAACAGTCTTCACATTTTCCTGCGCCATCTTGAAACGTGATAATCGGCGAGCGTGCAATGATAGACACCTATCAATCATTGTCTAAACAAGGTTTCTATCATTGCACGCTCAACGGTCGTCTCCGGCGCAAAGACGGGGTTACATTTCAAGATGGCGGAAGGAGACTATTCGACAGTACCTCTGGATCACTTCCACTGCCTATTTCAACCTCTTCAAAGTCTTCATCTGAACTATAAACAAATCAATGACACATCTGTAAATAAAGATGAATTCCAAAAATATCTTGCATGTAATTTTTTTAACAATAAATTGGCCACCATGCAGATCGGGTGTGATTATTGTGTAACTTGTCAAATGATTTCTTCAGCTCTCAGTTCAAATTTAACCAATTTGACAAGAATTTGGATTCTGATTTACAGAAAACAACTAAGATTAGAGATAATAATTTTAAAGATTTTTAAAACAATGGCTGTCGAGGCCAGATGCTTTGGGGGTTGGACGGGGGAGCAGGGTCTTTATATAAAGAATATCTAATTACGTTACTTTGTGTCTTACCAGGCTGGAGGTTTAAGATTGTCAAAAAATGATTGAAATTCGTCGATTAAGTGTTGCTGCCCACGTAAAAGAGGGATAATCGTCTCGTGAAGCTGAAAAAGAAAAACACGATAAAAAATCTTGTTGATAGAGTGTTCCTTTCT